GTTGTTGTGACTGTGTTGTGACTGTGACTGTGACTGTTGTGACTGTTGTTGTGACTGCTGTTGTGACTGCTGTTGTGACTGTTGTTGTGACTGCTGTTGTGACTGCTGTTGTGACTGTTGTTGTGACTGCTGTTGTGACTGCTGTTGTGACTGCTGTTGTGACTGTTGTTGTGACTGCTGTTGTGACTGCTGTTGTGACTGCTGTTGTGACTGCTGTTGTGACTGCTGTTGTGACTGTTGTTGTGACTGTTGTTGTGACTGCTTGTTGTGACTGTTGTTGTGACTGTTGTTGTGACTGTTGTTGTGACTGTTGTGACTGTGACTGTTGTTGTGACTGCTGTTGTGACTGTTGTTGTGACTGTTGTTGTGACTGTTGTTGTGACTGCTGTTGTGACTGCTGTTGTGACTGTTGTTGTGACTGTTGTTGTGACTGTTGTTGTGACTGTTGTTGTGACTGCTGTTGTAACTGTTGTTGTGACTGCTGTTGTGACTGTTGTTGTGACTGTTGTTGTGACTGTTGTTGTGACTGTTGTTGTGACTGCTGTTGTGACTGCTGTTGTGACTGCTGTTGTGACTGTTGTTGTGACTGTTGTTGTGACTGCTGTTGTGACTGTTGTTGTGACTGCTGTTGTGACTGCTGTTGTGACTGCTGTTGTGACTGTTGTTGTGACTGTTGTTGTGACTGTTGTTGTGACTGTTGTTGTGACTGTTGTTGTGACTGTTGTTGTAACTGCTGTTGTGACTGTTGTTGTAACTGTTGTTGTGACAGTTGGGACTGATATTGTGTAAACGCTGCTGTGACTTGTTGTGACTGATATTGTGTAATTGCTGTTGTGGACCGAACACCACACTCATGTAAATCGTAAAGCCATAATTTTAGTATGGAAACGCAAACAATAATATATTTAAATCCTGTTAATAAAAGACAACAGTTCACTGCACGCTTGATGTGCATACAGAGTTCCGTTTATTAGTTAACCAGGAAACGAACCCTGCCCTTATCAACTTGCTAAATGGATAGCGCGAACAAAATCTTTCTCTCTTTTTTTAATTCCCTGAATAGCAAAAGGCATCTGTTCAGCACACATATGTATACGGAATTTCACAAAGAATACTGAACGATGTGTGTGTTTTGCCCCAAACCAGACATGTGATGGACGGACAGAATCTATTTCTTTGGAAGATAATTACAGAATTGTCATAAGCAAAAACAAATGTGTTAAACTTCAAAGAAGGTTTTATAATACACGTAAATCATGTTTCAATTTGTTTTGTTTATATTCTTTCTTAGTGTATTCTTCTTTTTTCAAATAATGCATATGTTTCAGTTTATTGCGTGCTACAGATCAATATGTAGCACAATTCCAGATGCAGTATGCTACGATGAATATATCAGAATATGTTTTTATACTTTGGCCATCAGAAAAAGTATACAATTTAAAAAGCATTGCCTGAAAATAATGAAAGACATTTCTTGCACTGTGAACGTTCGTTTTCGATGAGTCCTATAGTACTTCATGTATACCTCGAGACCGAGTACATCATCGCGTATATTGTTTCAATATGGATTCTGACGGGAATCTTTCTTAGTTGTTTTATGCCTCAGGTAACAACAATATGCCATATCATAACCATCTGTAAATAATCGTTTCACCACAAGGCGAGTGATCAACGTTATGAGCACCGTCCGACAGGGTTCGATGACGCACAAATCAAGCGAGGTCACCAGGCTGTAAAGCCTAAACCATAAGGTCTCCTCTTAAGACGAGCGTAGACACCTGCTAAAATATTCAGATTCTTTACATAACCCTAAAATTCATTGTGGACACAAGTGACATTTATATACTTCGAGACAAAAGAGTACTGTACTCCACGACTATATCAATTGTCTCGAGAATAGAGCGCATACCTGGAGAGTGGCGGTCAGTGTTTTGACACTTGAGCACGTCATACCAAATGACGTTAAAAGGTCGTAATTGTTGTTACCTCGCCCGGCGCTCGGCATTAGGACATGGAACAAAAACTGGTCTGTTCGGCGTCAGTATGCTGTGTCTGAATTATGTCTGACCGATAGGGTAGTCTAGAGGTTAAAGCGTTGGCTCGTCCCGCCGAACATCCGGGTTCGATTTCCTACATGGGTACGATGTGTGAAGCCCATTTCTAGTGTACCCCGCCGTGATATTGCTGGAATATTGCTAAAAGCGGCGTAAAACTGAATTCTGTCGCCAAGTTCCACTACGTCGTGGTATCTCTGTGGGCTGACACTATAACAGTGACATTAGTGTTAACAAGCCCAGTCAGTCACTCACACGCACACGTGTGGATGTACGTCACAAACTATGAGCGCAATACTCTTAAGCGCCACGACATTTATCCCATTTCACCTTGCCATACTCTGGGAAGCCAAGCTATATAACACGTCAGAGGTTCAACGAGAACCTATATAGAGATGTGCATCAGACTTTTACAGAATTATTTTAATCACTGAATTATGCTTTGTCTACAGAGATGTAAACCAGCTGAACTAACGATCGGAAGCCGGCCAGTCAGCCCCATAAATTCACTCTCTATATACGTTATTTCCTAGATAATCTCACCTGCGTCCTTCAAAGGATGTGTACTTGTAGCTGTTTTTCCCTGACAATTTATATACTTGTTTGGTGGGACTTATGTTAGGAATACACTTATACAAGAACACCTTGTTGTCAGTCGCGACACCCTTATAAGGGTAAATCTGCACATCGCCATATAGGTGTGGCTCGTGCAGCACGTGAACACTGTGAGTGCTGGCAAATAGTTCACGAGCAAGTTTTTCGTTATGTCTTACCTTCGATATAACCCGGCGTTTTGAGTACCGGTCATAAAATTTGCAGGCAGGTTTAATGTCTTCACTGAATGGTTTCCATAGTGAATGTTGGAGGTGAATAAAAGAATGGGTCTCTCTCTCTCTCTCTCTCTCTCTCTCTGTCTCTCTCTCTCACTTAAAATGTGACCTTTAATTACTTTGTTTAATTACAGTTACATAACAACGTTTACACACACGCCCGCACACATAGTCTTTCATTCATTCAGGTCCATGTACAGATTTATTTCATGTTCCCGCTATCTCCTGTAATCCTAAGAACTATTAATACTAAAGCTATCAATAAACTCACTCAAATGAGGAACATATAGGTATTTTCATTAATACTTTGGCAACAATAAGTTGTTGGAAGAACAAGGCAAGGTAATCACAGAAGTATGTTATTGCGCTGTGTAGGTAGCCAGGACTATAAACGCTAGGAAACGGACGCCATTCCCATCATACCAACATGAAAGTTAATAAGAGTAATAAATACACGATACAACTGTTGAAAATGACACTATTAACCTTTCTGTAATAGGTGAAAATAAAATCGTATGATCACACTATATATATTCAGTAATAACACTGGACTTTCCACGAGTAACAATTACCAATATGGTATTATTTCTTAATCATTCTGGCAAATTCAAGACTACACCTCCAGCAGTTTTCAAAGCATGTTTTGTTTGGATTTTTAATATCTTGCTCTGTGATGTCGCACTTTCCTTTGTTTCATTTGGAAAAATATATATTTATATATGGAACTTAAAAAGGAATTAACAGACAAAGTCTTTCTCGCATCAAGACAGGTTCTAGCAGAATTTCTGTGAAGTTTCTGTTTTTTCATTTGAGGACAAATGTTAACATTAACAATAAGACGACACTGTTGTTTGCATTTCAATCTGTACTTTTCTTTTAATTTGTGTTGGAATATCATAAACCCGTATTTAACACCCTTGAAATTAAAGTTTTTTAAAGCAACAAACCAGGGTTATCAGGCAGACAGGCAGACAGAAGGTTTATTTAGGCCATGGGCCAAAAACAACGGTTACAAAATTTGTGTATGATTGCACAGTCGTGGGTATTTGTGGATGTACATATATAGTTTGATATACAATAATTTAACAGAGAAATGAGGGATAGTAGCCCAAGAGTAAATAATTACAGCATATTCATTGTACTTCCCATTTTAAAGATATGATAAACACATTTAGCAATACTAATCAATAGTTGTACATTATTAGTTTGTAACATGTTCAAAAATTTTATCATACTTGGTCTGGCAATGACATGCTTTGGTTCATAACGATTTCTTATACTTAAATATTATCGACTGGTCCCATTTCAGCGAGGACGTCTCCACAAGGCATCGTCATAGATGATGACACCATGATATTAATATATTATTATATTCTAAATAGCTTATATTTTTGTATACTTATCATATGATGATTTTCCGTTTACCATACTGCAACCTTAATTCTCTAAAGCGGTTCTCTAAAGCTGTTCTCTAAGCGGCTGAGGAGACATATTCATTTGCCTGTGACGTCACTTGTTTACCACGTGCGCCGCCAAGATGATGCCCAAACCAAACAACACGAAATAACAACACGAACGTCTGTTGTCTCGTCATTCTAAGACTCTTAAGTTTCTTTGTCAAGCTTTTCACAGCATTGCCGTTTCTTTCTTTCAACAAGCCTACCCGGGTGTAAATAACACAAAACGTCAACATATCACACTTAAATACCACATCATTTAGTGAACCCAAATTATCATAAATCTTAAATATGTAACATTTTAAAATGTACAAATACAATGATTAAAAGCCTTCTAACAATGAACAAACTGTTTTGTTTTGTATTTCCACAGTTAGACAATCCATGGTACAACCTGTAATCAACAATGGGAACACGTTGTAAATTTCAAGTGACAGCTGACAGTAAAGTATTCAGAACCAAATACTCCGTGGGAGGGTATGTCAAACGAACCCCCGACTCGACACTTCATATTTCCACAATATAACTCAATGAGGGTCACGCTGTGTGGCCACAAGTAGTAACGAAGTATCTATCGTCCGACCTGTCTACACCTGAGTGATCGATAAATTCTACCTGTCGTCTAACTGCTGTGCATGTAGACCAGGTTCTGTCCGGCGTTGTCTTACAACTATCTCTTATGATAACTCATGTCAGCTGATGCTTAATCTTTAATTTGATTTCTACCTCCTGTGCCTTATTTCCAAATGAGCGGTTAGATTGACATGGATCGATTCAGGAACGGGCCAATGAACGCAGTTCGATAGAAGGCAGGTGTCGGGCCGCTGGGTTTGGCAAAACAAAACATCGCCCAGCTTTCATCTGTGGGCCCCAGCGCATCCGGGTATTGTTTCATCATTACAGAGGTTGGGTAAGCTTATTCTCTCGGACATAGAACGGGGAGTTTATCAGTGATAAGGGAACGGATGCAGGTTTGCGGAAACGCGTGCCCGCTTAGTGTTGTGAGTGATTTTGCGGACTGTGCCGAGTTTGATGACTGAGTTAGCATTGGGAGTAAGCAGCTGCAACCGCGAGTGACAACGGAGGCGTGATTTCCCGATATTCAACATGGCGGAGACCATAACTCAAGTTTCGGGGAATGGACCTGCCGGAAAAATTGACGAAAAACTTATGAAATTGTTTACTAGAGACCCTGCAAAAGATTTTCTTCTACAGAAAGAAAATTCAGGAACACAGACAATGCTTCACATAAACGGAACGAAGGAAATTAACGAGGAGAACAAAGAAAACAGAACGAATGGAGAGGTAAGCGTGTTTTGAATGATAGCTACTGATGACAAAGAAAAGGTGTGCTATCACAAGGACTTTGTTTAGTGAGGGGGATGTATATGACCAAGGTAAATACCGGGGGATTCCTCTCTCCTCGATTTGTCAACTGTCATGTTTGCCTTGGGTAAAAACGAGCCTGTGGCAAAGAACAGAGGAAAGTGCTGTTTGAATCCCGCGGTTTATTTTCCAAACTCGGCGTTCTATCAATGCATATACACGGCTCCCATTTCATATTTATACAGTTGTTATTCGTGTGGATTATGACTCGTGAGTAATATCGTGAACAGCTGAACCTTTATTGGAAGTGTTTTTCATACACGCATTGGGGGATTAACATGAGCGCCCTGTGTATTCACTTCCTTGAAGCAAGCAGGAAAATGGAGCGTCATTAGTTTCATTGTCCGATAGCCTGTCAATGGTGGTGTCTGCAGCTAGGGTTCATTTCACATTTTATTTACCCTGTACTTTACTTCATTCCTGTTTGCAATCCTTTGTCAGGACAAGAATTTACTACATAATTTCCTTGGATAAAAGCAATGTATTCACTGGAAGACTCTCAAACTCTCAGTTATATTCATTCTCATATGACTTGTTTGGTGACTCAACCTATTTCATTTCCTCCTAAGAACTGTTAATACTGAAACTGTGAGTGACTGTGTTTATCTTCTAAACTGAAACATACGCCAGTATTTCTATTAATAACTCAGAGTAAGGTGCATTGGGAAGTGGTGAGATGAAATTTAGAAAAAAAACATGTTTTTCTAATCCTGTGTTGATCCCCTGTTCATCTAGTCATAAGTAAACAGTTGGAATCTAAGTTATTTTAGAATGAAAGTACATTAGACATGATACAGCTTTCTAGCTTCTGAAAATGACGCCATCAACCTTTCAGAAATAAGATCACAAGTGGAAAAATCAAATCACATGAATGCAATCAGGAATAGTATTGTATTTCTCACATTATTCTTGACAAATATGTTTTTGTCACAACATTTTCGAATATTGACAAATTCAAGGAAGGCTCCACATCATGTAACATGTTGCAGCAGTCAAACCTATAGATCCATCCAGTTCCAACAGATTTCCAGACTTGAATAAGAATCCATAAAAATCAATCCAAAACACAGCTGTATAGGGACTGTAAGTATTGAAGACATGTGTTTTTTAACATTACACACCATTGGTCGCTGTAACATAAACAGGTATGTTTCAGTGTAGTGGTATAGAGTTAAAAACTGATGGGCCTGAGCTTACACTGATAGGGGGTTTAGGTGAAGTGCTCCTAATCTCCCTACAGATCATAGGGTTATCAATGCCCAGTGATATATCTATCACCTGGGCTCTTGATACTGGGGTGTGGATTACACCACTTTGGTGTCGCCCTCTTCCACACTATGCCAATCTCATGTCAACTTTGTTTTTGTTGCATTTGATTTTGTTGATCGTAAGAACTGAGAGTGTAATGACTTGGGGTTAAGTCTGTTTTATTTTGGTTCTGTGTGTGTTGGTTTTGGTATCGATATTAGACAGGGGTGGATCTTGGATTTGTTAAAGTAGGCTGCATAGAAGACTAAAGAGGGGCAATGGTCTTGTTCAAGGGCTCAGTTAAAGTACATTTTTAAGCCCACCCCACACCATGTGCATTACTTAGTGTAGGTACTTACATTTGATGAACTTGTTTACATGGTAATGAATAAACATATATGACACATCTTGTGTACAATATTTCATTAATATTTTTAGAGACCCTGTATTAAGAAATGACAAATGGTACATTCATTCTCTGTTTTACAGGGGCGGTGGGGTAGTCTAGTGGTTAAAGCGTTCGCTCGTCACGCCGAAGACCCGGGTTTGATTCCCCACATGGGTACAATGTGTGAAGCCCATTTCTGGTGTCCCCCGCCATGATATTGCTGGAATATTGCTGAAAGCGGCATAAAACCAAACTCACTCTCTCTGTTTTACATATTTCACAAAGTTATTTGATCCCATGATCAAGACATTTGGTGATAATTGATGTACTCAATTTGTATTGTATCTGACCCAGAACACTTCCATAGTCAATCTATATTTTTATACTAGCCATTTGCCACAAAATGTCAGTTTACTCAGATTTTCTTCTGTAGGAAATTGTGTAGAAATTATTTCAGAAAACGTGTTTTGTTTGTGTTTGGAACTATACATGTGGAGGCACCTTGAGCCATTTCCTTGTTGATGAAGACTGCTTCTTGTGACATGGGCAATCCTCTTACGGCTGTTGACCAAACCCACATCAATAAGGATCACCTGCATGCATGATGGATGCCTTGTCTGGTGCCAGGTCGCAGGATGCTACGGTCATTACCACAAGCCTGTCGTGTCATGACGACTCATGACACCTTAAGCTGTGTTAAAGGTGCACAGACCAACCTGACCCACGATACAGGAATTCTTTTTCATTTTCACTAGTCTTAAAAAGTGATATGGTACCATAAGCCATGTTCATGTTGCACAGACCAGTTTGATACTAGAGATGTGGTGCAGGAAGCAATAGGTTTTCATTTTCGCTATTACCTTAATCCATGTTAAAGGTGTAGGACCAGCTTGACCTCAGTGACATGGTACAAGAAGGGTTCGAAATTCTGTATCTTTTTCAATGGTTTTCAAAAGTGATCTACTAGACCATCAATCTTCCATTTGGAAAAAGTAAGAGTCGGCAAGGAAATGACACAGTCCTTCCTGAACATCTGCCAATCTCAGGCTTGTCAACTTGGGTTGATTTTGAACCCTGAAAGATCAGGGCCTAGATTTTCGAAGCTCTCTTTGCGCTAAGATAGCTGTAAGTTAATGTTAATGTATGGCACTTACGGCTATCTTAGTGCTAAGAGAGCTTCGAAAATCTAGGCCCAGTATGTCAGTAAATTAATCATAGCTCTTCATTTCTAAACAATACAGATTCCCTGCCCTATATTTATAATGACTGTTTCCAATGATTTAACAGGGAACAACAGTTCATTTGATTATTGAGGTGTATTGTATGTGCAGCACTGTTATTAATGTTAAACTTTGTATGGTAAATATTCCATATTCCAATGACATCCAAAAGCAGGTAATGTCGTCTGCCCCCACCTCCTCACCCCACATGGTTCTAAGCAAATAAGTTATAAGTTGTATTGAACATGTTTGCTGTTGAAGTCATAAGATAACAGATTTATTTATGTCCGTATAAGAGAAGTTTCAGTGGATCCCAATAGCCTTGACACTTGTCAATGTTCAACTGGTCAAAAGTGTGAGTTTGAAAGCAGATTTGGGTGACACAGACATCCTGTTTTGAGATCAGAGACACTACATCCTGATTCACTTATGCTGATGAATGTTGACTATGCTCATTACTTGCCAAAGTTTTAAAATCGGTCACTTACAATAGTTACATGTGCAATAATTATGAAAACAATCCATGGATACAACAATACAAGTTACAGTATAAGTTCCAATATACGTGTGGGCTCAATTTACAGAACAATATGTGGGCTACATCCGTGATACAATATGTCATCTAATTGTTAAACATCATTTTTTGTTTTATTTCTTTGATTTGGACCTGCAGGTATTTAATTTCTTAAAGATCCTTGTATGAAACATTATGAAGGCTCCTTACTTGAAACAATGTGTGGGCTCCATAGTTATATGATATGTGGGCATTATTCATGAAACGCTATGCTTATAATAAGCCATTTTGTGCTTTATTTTTTAGTCTATGAACCTGCCTGTGCCTTATTTCATGACTGTACAAAATAAGAAAATATCAAAGTCTCTTTACTGCTCTGAATCTGTTAATATCTTTCATTAATGCAGAACGTATGTATCATTGGCACAGATAATTAGATAATAATGCACCGATATTATTCTGATAAAAAGATAAAATAAATGGTAGGACAGAGACTGGGTAATAAGTGTTAAAGTTGGTTTTTGGCTGCAAAAGAATTTATTTAAATGATATTAAAACCTAAAAAGCTACGTCTTCCGATGTTTCCTTCAGTTACACGGAGACAAATCTTGATACATTGCAGAGCTCACAAATATTACTTTAACACATACATTTCCTTTATCTCCTGCTACTAAAGAACTAGATCAGTGATTATCTATGTGCAGCTGAAAACATTGTGACAAAATGCCGATTCTGATACTCTACAAAATAACATGATTGATCAGTTTGTAGTTAATCTAGAACCAAAGTTATTATTTTTCAGTCAGAAATGATGAATATGAAAACCGTATTTCTGTAATCCATTATGCCTCACTTAGAAGGAATGCTGCTGGTGGAGAATGGGGACTAATTAAAGGGATACGGCTCTCAATGATGGTGAGAGCTCTTGGCCGCAGAACTGTGGCTGTCGATCGGTACAAATATGCTCCGTAGAGTATGGCGGAATTGATTCTATTATACCTAGTGGTTTCAAGAGGAGGTATTATGTTTCAGTCACACCCGACTATCTCCTTTGTGTGGTTTACATCATGTTAATATCAGGTGGTGACACAGACAATGTGCAAAGGAATATCAGGTGTTGATCAGGGTGATATAGGCTATATACAATGGACTATAGGTGATGATATAGATGATATACAATGGTGGTACCCAAGTGCTGACAGCTTGTTGATTAGTCATTGATTGATATGAATATTGGGTATTTGTACAACTGTAGTGCTGAGGCTGTGATGCCAAGGTCATAAAACCATGTATTGATCTTCTTGCTAGTACAAAATGTATATCATTGTTTTGTATATTTGAAAAAAACGTTGATATTTGGCAATTTATGTCCTTGAGCTGCATGGAAAATGTCAATATGAAAAGTGTTGCATTCAATTATTAATAGGTATGGTATACATGACACAGTGTACCAGTATTTGGATCAATAGGAGCACATTATATTCTGTTAAATGCAGTGGTTATGTTATCTGCATCAATGAAAATATTTGATAATTATGATGGCAATGCA